CTTACTTGCTTGTGAGTTTTATACTGCTCTTAAGGTTACCAAGAGATTCCCTTTTCAATGTGATCCACCGGAACCATGGAAGACGAGCAACGAAAGACGCTTTCAAACTCATCGATGAAGAGAAGAAAAGGGTCAAGGTCAAGGAAGACTTAATTTTTCTTGAAACATGCAAAGCATTTGAAGTGTATCCAAAGTTTCTTACATTTAAGCTTTACAAAAAATCACTTCAAGGCTCCAAGTTATATCACAACTTTCAAAACGATCTCCTTGACCATGAAATCAAAGAAAAGAAACGAAGAATCACTTTGCTGGATGCATCCTGTGAAGCAAAAAAACGCCATCTTTCCACGGCACTTACCTTCTTTCAATACTTCTGGCTCTCAAAAGAAGTGCAAGATACCATCACTGCACACAGGAAAAGGATTGTACAAACACACTCCAAGAAACTGCAAAGGCTCGGTGTCGCCAGCAACACCGCACCATGTGACCCCGATAAGGTGATCTTCAATCTATCATCAAAGACACTTCCAACACGCATCAAGACTCTTCTTGCATTTGGTCTGGACTTTAAACTACCAACATGGAAACTGAACTTTTGCAACTACTTCCTGTTCTTCGAAAAGCTTGCTGATTCGATCAGCCATCTACCACTACCAGCTCAGTTCAAGTTCGACGACGTGAAAAGAAGGATTAGAACAATAAGTGACAAATACTATCACGATTTCAAGCCCAGCAAAGTATTTTCTATTTTTTCCCGTGATGACATCAAGACGCTGAAAGAATTTGCCTCGGACAAGTCAATTGTGGTGACCAGACCGGACAAGGGCAAGGGTGTCGTGATTTTGGATCGAAACGATTACCTGGGTAAGCTCACCACTATTCTCTCTGATGCAACTAAGTTTGTTAAGATCAAGGAGCCACTGCATAAGGTATTAGGTACTCAAAGTGGAAGGAAAGGTGAACAGGCTTTTGGCTAAACTTAAAGAGACTGCAGCGATCTCAGAAACTGAGTACGGCCATTTATATTGCTCAGGTTCCAATCCCGGCATACTTTATGGACTGCCGAAGGTTCATAAGGCTTTGGTTCCTCTCCGCCCTATCTTCTCGGCATGTAAAACACCCACATATAAACTGGCGAAGTTTCTTGTTCCTATACTTGCTCCTTACACTGAAAATGACTTCACTGTGAAGAACAGCTACCAATTTGCTGAAGACATGTCTAAAGTTACCACTGGCGGATCCAGGCTTGCGTTTTGGGGGGGGCCAACTCATGCTGGAGCCAAACCTAGGGTACCCCCAAATCCTGTTTTCTCATCGGATTTAGGCCACTTATTTTTCGTCACAGCCCCGACATTATGATTTTTTTTTAACTAGAAAGAAAAAATATATAAATGGTAGCCCACCCGACCCATGCCTTTATATTACTTTGTAAGCACTTACCATTGCTTTTGTCGACCAGTTAACCCGCTTTGAGTCAGTGCTTGGGTCCCTTTGCGGGCCGGGAGGTGGTAAAACACCCCCTGTCTAACTCGGCTCCTAGGCCACGCACTGATTGAACTATGTTTCATTATCGTTTAGGGGAGGGGGCAAACGGGCCACTTTAGACCTCTGGGAAGGTGGCATGGCCCTAAATGCCCCCTCCCTGGATCCGCCAGTGTAAGAGACCATTGGAGCTGCAGTTGGGTACCTCAGACGTCAGGGTACGCCCTCAGATGTATAGGACTCGCATGGAGACCTCTTATGCTATAGTGGACTGAAAGGACCCAAAGGAGCCTGTCAAGGGCTCCCGGAGATAGACGTGGGCCCTCAGGAGCCCGCCAGAGCCCCCAATAAGGGATAAGTGAGGCATATCAAGTGCCTGCAATTGCATATTGCATAAGCCATAACGCCTTTACAAATCAATATATTATGTATCAGTGGCAGATCCAAGGGGGGCCACATGGGTCATGACCCCCCTTGGTGCCCGGGGGCACCACAGGCGTGTCAGGGGCACCACCGGCCTAGCAGGGGCACCACCAGCCCGCCAGGGGCACCACAGGCCTAGCAAGTAGCAAGGGCACCATGGGCCTGTGAGGGGCCCCACAGGCTTGTCAGGGGCACCCCAGGTCTGTCAGGGACACCAGAGACCTGCCAGGGGCGCCGCCGGCCTCGCAGGGGCACCATGGGCCTGTCAAAGGGGCACCAGAGACCTAGTAGGGATACCACAGGCCTTACAGGGGCACCACCGGCCTTACAGGGGCACCTTGGGCCTGTCAGGGGCATCACAGTCCTGTCAGGGCCCAGGGGCACCAGCGGCCTAGCAGGGGCACCACAGGCCTGCCAGGGGTACCACCGGTCTAGCAGGGGCACCACCGGCCTCGCAGGGGCACCATGGGCTTGTCAGGGGCCCCACCGGCCTCGCAGTGGCACCACCGGCCTCGCAGTGGCACCACCGGCCTCGCAGGGGCACCACCGGCCTCGCAGGCATCACGGCATCACGCAGGTCGCAGGGGCACCTTGGGCCTGTCGGGGGCATCACGGGCCTGTTGGGGGCACTTAAGGCTTGTCAGGGGCACCACAGTCCTGTCAGGTCCCAGGGGCATCAGCAGCCTAGCAGGGGCACCCTAGGCCCGCCAGAGGCACCACAGGCCTGCCAGGGTCGAGGGGCACCACAGGCCTAGCAAGGGCACCACGGGCCTGTCAGGGGCCCCACAGGCTCCCGTGCTACCCCCCCCCCCCCCCCCCCGGATCCGCCAGTGATTGTGATGCCACACCACGCGAAACACCGCCAACTACCAGCTGCCGCGCCATAAACACGTGCCAACACCAGTTTTTTTTTTTTGAAGGTCGACTCCGCTCGCGCAACTTTTGACTGACCCTCACTGCTACCATATTGCTTCCATATTATACTGTGGAAACTTTACTTCACCAAGTGCAAAAAACCTCCATCAAGGTATATTTTCTTAGAATTTTTTTCTGACGTTTTGGGGGGGGCCAAACAGGCCACTTTAGGCCTTTGGGGGGGGCCATGGCCCCCGTGGCCCCCCCCTGGATCCGCCAGTGAAAGTTACTCTAGATGACAACATGGTTATGGCTAGCTTCGATGTAGAAAACTTGTTTACCAACATACCTGTTCGTGAAACTATCGATATCTGTATCAATTATGTCTTCAATGGAAAAGATTCTGTTGTCAAGTTCACCAAAAACCTTTTTAGACTTATGTTAGAAACAGCGTCCCTCAATTCTTACTTTCTTTTCAATGGTGACCTGTTCAAACAGACAGACGGCGTCGGTATGGGCCTGCCGCTTGGACCGACCTTCGCCAACATCTTCCTCTGTTTTCATGAACAGAAGTGGTTACGTGACTGTCCCGTGGCGTTTCGACCTGTTCACTACTTGGTTGAACACTTAACCGAAAGCATAAAGTAAGGACAGCAAGTAATCGCTCATAAGACATAAAGCAATTAGCAAACAATCGTTTATAAAGAACTTCACTCTGGTGAATGGGAGCTTTGGAGGCGTCTGGCTCCTCCACACACACACACATCTGCAGTAGGTGGTCGGCCAGCTTTCGGCGCAGTTTCCGTATATGTAGGTATACCTACTTAATTATAAGCAGGCAGTTTCCGCTAAACCACTTGGCGAGGGCGACAGCGGCGTCCACCCGGTCCTGGTTTGTATAACTATTCCATTTTTTTTGGAACAATTTGCTCTAATGGTAAGTACGTACCTGAAAAAGAGATCGATTGGTTTAATTTACATTGCATGTTTGCTTGAAAAATAACTTATTGTTGCATTAATACTGTAACAGCACTTCTCATTGATCCGTATAAAATATTCATTCGAATTTTTCAACGCGGACAGAGAATGAGCGTGCTCGGTGATAAGTAGATAAATATTTGTGTTTTGTATTTCATTTTCCTGGTTCAGAAGTGCTGGTATTTCACAAAGATATACATAAAGGCACGGAATGCGGCTTTTCTGAGCGAGGGTGTAAGTCGCCAGGCTGAACAGCTATTCAGCTTCATGTTTGATGGCGTGAAACTCAGTCAAAATAATGACGTTTACATACGATCAAGCGCACCATTCAATACAATTACCTACCGTAAAACTCCATGCCAGTCCACTTGATAAGAGCAATGAGCACTATCCGTTCTTCGCGCTGTCACACGCGCCCAAACATCAACCACCAAATGCCCAAACACCGGTGTGTCGTTTCGTCGCACAGCGCGCAGACTGTCACAAACGCTGCACATGATTGGCGCAGAACTGCGCATGCGCGAACAGCCGAACAAGTATGGCTTAACTCCGGCTTTACTCCAGTTAGCCGAAGGACACAGCCAGCTTGATCAGCCCGCGCTCCGCCCAAGTTAAGCCTGTTTTGGATGCGTGGGCAGATGTCGGGCTGAGCTACTGCTATCCGCACGTGGGCATAGCTGCGGCATGCCCAAGCTCAGCCCTAGTAAAAAATACATTGGTTTTGATCAAAGTGGGCAAACCCAAGCTAAGCCCAAGCTGCCCGACGTTTGCCACAGTTCAGCCCAAGTGAATTGCTGGCTGGGGAACGCCTAGGGGGGGGGGGGGTTGTATCAACCCCCCCTGAGGTTTTTTCGAAGTGCACGCTAAACGGCTTGTCGTAGCGGGCTGAAATTTTCAATACCCTCTGGGGCAACCTTTGCGCATCTTTTGCCGAAAAAAAATTGATCGGGTCATGTCATGTCACGGAGTTATGACGTCATAAGAGGTACAGCCTCTGGCCGGATTTTCACAAACTGAGTGCCAACGTCCGAGGTTTCCTGCCGGTGGTACGGACATCGGTTGATGGATCGTGATGAAACTTCCCATGCATGTTCGGGCAAGTATTGGCTATCATATGGTATAAGAAATTTGACCGGGTCAGGTCAGGTCACGGAGCTATGACGTCACAAGAGGAACAGCGTCCGGTACTATTTTTGAAAAGTGTAGTAGATACGCTAAAATTACAGGCCGATTCCTCTGGTTAGCAACTTGAAATTCCAACGTCAACTTCTCTGCCGGTTTATTACTTTACAGGTAGCGGTAACACGGCGACAGATGGATCCAGACTGACTGGAAAGGATAAAAACAAAACGAAATCGGCTCGGTGAAAAATGGAAGCATTACATCACTAACAAAAAGTGATGGATTCAGGACAGGGGCGGGCAAATAGAGGAAAGTTTTACTGGGTGAGGAAAGGTAGGGTACATCAACACGGGTCACGGGTGAAGGTAAAAAAAGGTAAGAGGCTACTAATCACAACACACTCCCCACTCGAAATCGAGCGCACGACCGATTTCGAAAAACAAACAGAACGATGAATACGACAAAAGGCACAGCACTCTGCGATAGTTCGCGGCGACGTAACTCGTCCCGATCACTGCACCGGTACGACTCAGTCCGACTCAGTCCGCCGCCTCCAGCAGGAACAGGCGGCTGACAGGGCGGCGAGTGCTCCGCCCGCGCAGGCTGATGACGGCGGCCCTCACGTGGCCGTCCGGTCCCGCCAGCAGCCGCGTCACTCGCGCCACAGGCCACCGGCCGCGCGGCCTCTCACTGTGGACTAGCACCACGTCTCCCACGCGCGGTGTACGGCTAGGTCGTCCACGGGGCGAGACGCTCCAGCAGCGGAGAGCGTTGCGGTACTCATCACACCACCGCCGGATCAGATGGTCGCAGACCCGCTTTTGGTGACGCCAGGCCCTGCTGATGGAACACTCTTTCAATGTTGGGCACAAGACACCGTCTATGCTCGTCACGCCGAACAGCAGGTGGGCGGGGGTAAGGAGATCTTCACCATCGCCCTGGGTGAGGGGGCGCAGGTTTATGAAAAAAGCGAGCTCATACATCGTGGCAGACAACTCCTCAAACGTCAGGTGGCACTGATGTAGGGTGATGCGAAGAGCCTTCTTTGTCACGCCCACCAAACGCTCCCAGTACCCTCCCCACCAGGGGGCAGCCTCAGGGATGAACTTCCACGTTACCGACCGGGGTAGGTGGCCAAGCAAGGCCCGGAACGTCCGAGCGTTGTCGCTGTACACCAGAGCTGGCGTCCCTCGGATGGCGCAGAACCGTCTCAGCGCCAGGATCACGTCAGCGGTGGCCTGTGAGCGAACAAGCTCTAAGTGCACCGCACGGGAAGTGGCACATGTTATCAAAAGCACCCACACTTTCGCCTGGCTCTGATCAACGTACAGTGGGCCGAAAAAATCGACACCGACTTTGGCAAATGGACGGCTCGGCTGTGTTCTGAAGTTGGGCAGTGCTCCCTCAGGTGATCGGTACGGTACGCATCGGTAACGACGGCATCGGCGACAGGTTTCAACGATTCGACGCACCGTGCGTCTCCTCACCGCGTACTCAGCAGTCAGCAGGGAGAGGGTTACCCGCGTCCCCTGGTGGAAGCAGAGGCGGTGCGCGTCATCGACAATCAGAGTGGTGACATGGGCCAGGTCGGGCAGCACAGGTACAGCCCGCTCCCCACTGCGCAGCGTCGCCTCCAGCACGCCATCGTCACTTAGCTGTGGATGCAGCTTTTGAAGCGGTGAGCCGGCCGGCAGCAGTCTACCGGCACGTACGGCGTTGGTCTCCTCTCTGTAGGCACGGGCCTGTGCCTCTCTGATCCAGAAGCGGAGGCTCAGTCTCTTCTCCTCGGGCGTCAGCGGACCCGTCCGGCGCTCCTCCCTCGGTAGGCGGCTGTTGGTGACGAAACGGAACACCCACGCGAGCCTCAGCACAGCCTGTGTGAGGGTAGAACATGACGTAATGTCAAACGGTAGGGTCTCACTTGTGTCACTTCGCGTCGTCAGCAGGGTCAGCTTCAACGGGGGCTTCTGCAGCTTCACTTCCCTGGTGGCCTCCTGAGACGGCTGCAGACTGTCGGCCTCGTCTGTCGGTCCACAGCAGATCCTGGCATCAGGTCCCTGTCGGAGAAATGTCGGTCCTCGCCACCACAGATCACACTTCTCCAGAGCGGTCATGGACATACCTCTCGTCCCCAGGTCGGCCGGGTTGTCTTGTCCTCTTACGTGGTGCCATTGCTCCGCTCGAGTCAACTGGAGGATGGTGGTCACTCTGTTCTGCACGAACAGCTTCAGCTTCTTCTTGCTCTTCAGCCAGAAGATGACGTCCATGGAGTCGGTCCAATAGACGACTTGTGGGCTCTCCAGACTCAACGCCTGTCTGACAAAGTCCATCAGCCTGGCGCCGATGAGGGCGCCCATCAGTTCAAGTCTGGGCACGCTGAGGGCGGGAGTCAGGGGCGCGAGACGAGATTTGGACATGAGCAGCCTGGACTCCCCACCCTGCACAGCGTAGATGACACAACAATACGCTTTCTTTGAGGCATCACAAAAGACATGGTAGGTGACGTCACAGTCATTCGTCAGCAGCGCGCGGGGGAACCATACAGTTCGATCTGGTGCGTCTGTGAGCCATTCTGCTAGCTCCTCCTGTAGCTGAGGGGGCAGCTCCTCGTCCCAGCTGACCGTGCATCCGACTCCCCACGTTCTCTGGAACAGAGACCTGCCGACAACAAGCCACGGAGAGAGTACACCGAGCGGGTCAAACGGCTTACTCAGCAGGGACAGCATCTCTCTCCTGGTCTTGGCCACATGGAAGCCAGGCACACTCACTGCGAGCAGGTCCGTGGCGGGGTTCCACAGAAGACCCAGAACGTTGGCCTCGCTGTCAGCGTCACCGGAGATGCGCCGCTTGTGCAACTCCATGCCTGCGTCGCGGAAGATCTCCTCCGCCCGCGACATGCTCGACTCAGCTTCGGCTCTGCTGCAGAAGGAGGTGCACACATCATCCATGTACAGGCCACATTGCAACTTCTCACACAGACCCGGCTCCTCCCCACAGTACAGGTCCAGGTGAACAGAGATAGTTTGCAGCAGCATGAATGGGGAACATGTTATACCGAACGGAACTCTGCGGAAACGAAGACGCTGTCCGTCCCACAGAAACTGTAGGTACTTTCGGTCTTCCTCGGACACCGAAACCTGGTGAAAGGCAGCACGTATGTCTGTCTGAGCTCCCACGGCGTCTCGTCTGAAGTTGAGCAGCACGGCAGGCAGACGTCTGAGCAGATTGCTTCCCGGCTCCAGGTAGTCATTCAGGCTGTGGCCAGTGGCGTCCCGGGCAGAGCCGTCGAAGACCACCCGCAGCTTTCCACCGCGCCAGATGCCGCGGTGCGGCAGGTAGAACCCTTGTAGGTCATCGTTGGGCGGCGTCTCGATCACGCCGGCTCTATACAGATCTTCCAGGTGTCTCTGGTACGCTTCCCGCTCGGGGACTGTGAGCCGTCCCTCCATGCGTCCGATCCGGGCTGCTGCTGAGCTGAGGTTAGAGAGGGGGCGATCATCAGACTTCCACAGTAGGTTCATTTCGTACCTCTGTTCGGCGTCACTCCACTTCGGCTTCATCGGTGATCTCTCGTCCTCGTCCCCGGAGATGCCGAGCGCCTCCAGACTCCAGAGCTGCTCCGGCTTGAAGTCTGGCGACGGAAGCCGGCAGCAACGGAGCGCGTACTTCACAGACGCGCAGTCCACCGGCTCGCAGTCCACCGGTGACCCATCTCGGCCGTGCAGGACGTAGCCGAACACAGTCTCCAGGGCCCTGAGATGGTCAGTCAGCTTCACCTGCTCCCACAACACAACTCTGTACATCAGGTCGGCGCCGATCAACACGTCCACCGGCCCACCCTCAAAATCATCAGCAAGCAGAAGATGCGGTGTAAATACGGCAGTAGGCGGTCGGGCGGGGGTCAGTTGGGAACAGAGACGATCAGTCTTCCACAGATCGAAGACGTGAGGCTCCCCACCGTGACGGCTCCGCACAGACAGCCTCACCTTCTCATACATCCTCGGCTCCTCGAGCCGCTCCTGGAAGCCCAGGCAGGCGAACACACCTCTCCCCACCGTGGGCAGACCGAGTAGCTCCGCTGCAGATGTCCTCACGTACGACGAGTCCGAGCCGCCGTCGAGAAGAACGCGAAGCTGGCAGGTACCCCGCGGTCCAGACGCCTCCACCAGAGCTGTCTGCATGTAACACAAGTTTTCGCATGCAGCAGGTCGGTCAGACGGAGCAGCCTCCAGCAGGCAAGCATCAGGTGAGCAGTGAGCGACAGCACACGGCGTCATATGCACGTCGGGCATAGCACAAGCGGTATTCACCCTAGCGGTAGTGCTGGATGCTGGCACTAGCGGCTGTGGTGAGACTGGCGTTGGTAAGACTGGCTGTGGCACATCAGCAGCGCAAGCCGCGGTGACATTCATGGCCTGGCGGGGAACAGCGGGCGACCAACCTGGACGTTGAGGCTGCTGACCAACTGGCGGTGGCGGCGGCAGATCTGGTAGGTAGCTCCCCTCGCGGCAGGGAGGCAGTTGCTCAGGACGGCTGTCCGCTCGGTGTGCGGGCGGCCGTCGGTCACGGGTACCAGCTCCGGGCTGGCGTCCTGGCTCACTGTGGAGACTGGTGTGGTGTCGCTCTCCACACACACGGCAGTTGGAGCTGCGGCAGTCACGAGCAAAGTGCGGCCCCAGGCACTGATAGCACAAACCAGCCCTCCTCACTACAAGCCATCTATCATCAACAGACATTCTCTGATAGTCAAGACACTTGCTCAGGCCATGTTTATCCTTTTTGCAAGCCACGCAGGTCCATGCAGCACTGGCAGGGGTTGTTCGGTTCCGACTCACCGCCAGCATACTCACTGAGTGCAGTGGGCTCCGTTCCGGAGGGACAGGATGCCTGGCGCCGATGTTGGCTTCCTCCCTCATGTCCATCTCCTTGCGAAGAAACCCGAGGAAGTCCTCCAACCCTGGATCCGGCTGGTGCTGGCGCGCCCATTCGAGCCTCCATGACTCTGGCAGCTTTCCCTTGGCTATGGGAAGAAGCAGGCTCGACAGGTTAGCACAGCTCACTCCCATCGCGGTCAGTGTCCTCACATGTGACATCAGATGGTCTATGAAGGATCTCATGGCAGATAGGTCGTCACTGACACTGGGCATGTTCAACAACTTTTTCATGATCTCCTCCCTCACTCTCTCGATTTTACAGAATCGGTCTTTCAATGCCTCCACAGCTGACTGGTAGCAAGCATCAGACACTGGTATACCTTTAACACATTGCAGTGCTAAACCAGAGAGGTGGCTCTTTAGTATGCTGAACTTCTGTACATTCACATACCTTGAATTGGTATGCACAGCAACCTCAAACAGGTCCCAGAATTCCGACCACTGTAACAGATCTCCAGAAAATACTGGAATCTTTACATCAGATGCCCTCAGGTCAGTAGAGTCAGACTGAGCTGGGGCTGGTTGAGCAGACGCATTCTCAATCCTTGACAGATGACGTTTTGCCTTGAAAACCTCCTCCCTGATGCCATCTAAATGTGAACTCTCGTCAAACACTCCCTTGACAGTCAGAACATCCTGCAAAGAAACCATCTTCTGCTCTAGCTGCTCCAAAACATGAATTTTGTACGCCAAGTCATCTTGATCGACTACTCCTGCCCTGTAGTCTTTCAAGTCACGGGTCAGCTTTGTGGCCTTACCTCTAAGCAGAGTTCTGTCCTTCACCAACACCTCCACTTCCTCACTCATCTTGTCAGGCATCTTGATGTCAAATCACAGCGCAAATCTTCAAAGCATCGCAATCAGCAAAAAACAAAGAAGCAAATGACTGAAAAAACAGTCATCCGGCCGCGGAGGACTATGTGGTAGATACGCTAAAATTACAGGCCGATTCCTCTGGTTAGCAACTTGAAATTCCAACGTCAACTTCTCTGCCGGTTTATTACTTTACAGGTAGCGGTAACACGGCGACAGATGGATCCAGACTGACTGGAAAGGATAAAAACAAAACGAAATCGGCTCGGTGAAAAATGGAAGCATTACATCACTAACAAAAAGTGATGGATTCAGGACAGGGGCGGGCAAATAGAGGAAAGTTTTACTGGGTGAGGAAAGGTAGGGTACATCAACACGGGTCACGGGTGAAGGTAAAAAAAGGTAAGAGGCTACTAATCACAACAAAAAGCGCCCGAACCACTATTTTGCTAATTCTTGTCACCTCAATGGGAATATGCAGCAATATTAGCTTCTATAGGGAGCAAATGGACCTCCCAAATCCAAAAATACAATCAGATTTCAAAAATTTAAATTTTGATCGAATTTCTGCCGCCGACTGTGACCTTGCCGACTTCCGGCGCTCCCAACGCGCCATTTTTAGAGCTAGGGAAACGAAATACATACCAAACGATAGAGAATTGATCAAGGAACACGATAGTGAAGGTTTCAAGTCGATATCTCCCACCGTGTTGCCGCAATCGCCGCCGAAAGTTGAAAAAAGTCTATTTTTCCGAAAATTTGACCTTTGACCGGTCAAAAGTAGGTCAAATGTTGACCTAGGACCAAAAAATATACTACCAATCGCGAGATCTCGTTGAGAGCAATCCGTTGGTTTTTTCCGCTAAGCTCTACGACCTTCCGTTTCGAAACGCCAGGGGGGGGTCGTAACAACCCCCCCCCCCCTGGTCGTTCATGTTATGAGAAATGGCCTGATCGTGCGAGGGTTAAGATCAAAGTAAAAGATTGGTACCCTCAGAGTATCTAGAGCATCTGTTCACGAGTGTGTGAACCAAAACTGAGCCTGATCTGACTTGTAAGACGGCGGCCAGAGCCCAAAACGTGAACAAACCAAAATGCTAATAATTTTTACTTTGACCTGACCTGTGACGTCATCGGTGACCTCGAGGTCAACGAAATTAGGTTTCGCTCAACAGTTTTCCCGGGGCTATCAGCCGCCGTTTGAATTTTGACGATCGGCCTAGTAGTTTCGGAGTTAGGAGGGGGGGGGGCTATGAATAGCCCCCCCCCCCGTAGGGCGTGTTATACGCAGACCCCAGTGGGGCGCGGGTTAAAGGCCTCCGACATCTACTGTAGCTCTGGCACGGTGACAAAGTTGCAAAAAAGTGACGTGAGGTTGGGTCATTCAAAGTGACCTGGTGACCTGACCCTCAAAGTTAGGAGGTTCAAACTTGCACACCATGTGTAAAATTGATGAGAAAATAGTCGTACCAAATTTCGCGGCGTTTCGCGCCACGGTTTTCCCGCCATCCACGAAAAACCTCAGGGGGGGAGGCGGATGGGCCCCCCGTCGGTGCGCTGTTAACCTCGCCCGCACATGGGCCCCCCCCCCCCCCAGGTAGTCTTTCTGCTCTGCACTCAACATTTTTGGAGCTAGACTGCTGATTTTTCGTATAGCTGCTTATCTATCCTTTCTTCATGTTAACTGAAAATTTCAAGTGTCTGTGATTTTTGGTTTCGGAGATATGACCTTGTTTTTCAGGTCATGTCATGACCCAAATGGCCAATTCTCAACATCTTTCGTTTGCCATGGGCCTTGTGAGCTTTTGACACCTTGATTTCGGCCTTGTTTGCCAGTTTCACCTCCCGACTATCATGGAACATGTTGTTCGACGATGTACAGGTGTCAAGGTCAGGGTCAAGGTCAACCTAGGTCATCCAAGGTAATTGCGCTTTGGGCAAGCTGAATTTACTTTTTTGTGAATTTTTTTGACTGCATTTTTGGTAAAAGCTTCTCAGATCATGATTTCATGTAATATGGACACAAAAACAATCGGTGCACACATCTGTACAGGGTGTCCGGAAAGTCCTGGCGCTTCTTTTGGACGCCGTGTAACGCGCGCTGTGATTATTGGACATTCAGCCAATCATCACAGACATGACCCCTCGTTGATTGCTCAGCCAGAGGTCGTGTAAATATGACCTTGAAATCGTTTTCAGTGATGGGTAGATGGGCGAAGATGCGCCTTGTCGCTGAATGCCTGCGCGCGGCGGCCGGGTGCGACTTGAACGAGGCTCGAGTTGCAGCGCGATGCGGCGTTTTTCGATGAATGGTTTAGCAGGTAAAGGTTTATTTCGACTCGGGAATTCCTTAGAAAATATTCTCAGACCGTTTCGAACGCGATATGGGAACGGAGCAGCATTTCAGCGCGGCAATCGAAGAAAGTGCGGGGGTCTGATGGACAAAAATGTCCCATCATCTTCGTCAATGTCGAATAAATGAATAACAGGCTGGCCCACGAGGGGTTCCTGGACAGCCACATCAACCCGAGGGTCAAGACGACATGCCCTAAGGGTCACTTCGCATTTCAACAGCACAGAGCACCCTCCAACAACGCCGCTGCCATTCAAGCTAAACTGACAGAGGATCTTGCCGGGCCAGATCACCGTGGCGAAATGAGATCAGGCCGCCTTATTCTCCTAACCTGACCCGCTCGACTAAGGCGTGCTACGCGTTTTGTAGAACAGGATCTAGGCCATTTCTCACCCCAACCTGGAGTCGCTGAAGACTCGCATCATGACAGCATGGGAGGACCTGGAAATGCCCCGCATCGTCAAAACCCGCAGACGCTTCCTCCCCTACGTCGAGGCCGTCGTCGGCACAGACGGTGGTTACATTGAATGAGCACGTAGCGGAAGCATGTGGCTTGGTGTCCCTGGTCATTGTTTTGATCCATTGATTAGTATCTATGAACCAATGGCATTTGTTTTAGAAAATGTTGAAAAGCGCCAGAACTATCCGGACACCCTGTATACATACAGACACACACAGACATACAAACACATATAATTGACCTTGACCTAGCTTGACCTGAAATGACCCCAGCAGCAAAAATCTGGTCGGGTAGTGTGAGAAAGAGGTTCTAGCTGGCTTGGCACCAGAAAACAGCATCGTCATCGGTATATGATAAGCAGCGCATTTGATATCCAACGGTGCCCCAAAACAGCAACATTTTTTAGTTTGACCTGACCTGGAAGGTCAATGACTGACCTGAGAAGGTAAAACTGGGTATCATTGGATTCGTCTCTTCCAAAGAATCTTTTTGGTCTTTACCGCTAAGCTTTATCTCCAACAGGAACGAAATGGCGCGGGGGTGTGGCAACCCCCCCCCCCCCCATGTGCGTTCTAGGATGGGAAAATGGCATGTGCGGGCGAGGGTTAAAACCTTTCTGACAAACACTTCAGGCTGGACATGATTGCAAACTGTTTTAGGCTTGGTCAGTTAACTTGACCTGGTGACCTGTCCTGACATGACCTGGGGTCAAACATTTCACACATTGTCCAAAATTGATGTACAAAAAGTCACTCCAAGCGG